GCCTTGCTGGAATATATCATATAAGGGGGTGCTGATAGTGGGAACAAATTTCCAGGCTCGGTAGAAAGTTTATTTCGGACGGGGAAGGGGGTGTGCGCCTCGCATCAGAGGGCTAGGTCTGATTTTGATTCAAATCGACTATGGTCAGAGTCACGCTGGTGATGTTCTTCGTTTATTTTTTTTTGGAGGGGGTAGGGTGGAGTGAGAGTGGAAAGCAACGAAAAGTGGGTTTTGTGCACACAGTTTGGGTGCGAAAAAGCGGAAGACTATCACCCGAGCAGTGGTTAGTGGGTGTGAACGCACTGTCCTAGAGGGGGTTCCATGAGTGAATAGGAGGTTCTCGTGACTAGACGGTTTACTCCGTCTGCGTTTATCACACAGGCAGATCATGCTTCCCCTAAGATACTACGGTACTCAAACACACAGATACGTTCCTTTTGAGATATGAGCAATAAGTTCAGTTTCACCCATCTAAGGAAAAAAATGAGCACTGATAGCAGCAATGAGAAAATTTGTAAATATCAGTGAATCTTAACGAATCGGTCTCAAGTTCGGATCAGGAGGTTTAGCTTTTTGTGTGCAGAGTGACGCAAGGAGCATAACATTGTCGGTTTCGAAAATGGGTGGGGAGGGGGTTGGAGGGTTTAAAAGAAACAGCATACTCCTTGAAAACTGCTTTGTTCTGGGACGACCAATCTGAACAACGATAGATGAACTCAGCCGATTGGCGGGAACCGCCAACCAATCATGATGCTTGACAGCAATCCAGTCAACCAAACGTTTGATATATGCGTTCTCCTATCCTCGCTCTTTACTATAAATAATCATGATTTTCGCATAATAAATGGTTTCCTAAATGCTTTCAGCTGTGTCTGATTTCTTTACCTTCGGAGTTCCTACATGTAGGAGCGGTTAAGGTCACCAACTAATCACACTGCCTCATTTCATTGTATCTCCAGCCGCAGCCAATTGATCCTCTTTTTTGAAAATTAGTTGTTTAGCTATCTGTTTGTCATAAAGAAATGAGGAAAAATTAAACAGGATGTCAGTAATAGGGCTGCAGATCCGAGTATTCTGAATCCTGTTTATAGAGAACTTGGCGCTGGTTTGATGAACAATAAGCACAGAAAAGGAACCTCTTGATATGAAGGATCTATCAGTAACACGGGTCGTAGACAGACAAATCACATGAAATCCGGATAGGATAGTATAGGCATTTCACACTTGTCTGGGACCCGACCACGATCCGGAAAAAGGAATGGGACAACAATCGGAATAACGACGAGGAAATTGGTCTATGGTTTGTCAATAGTCACAATACTAACAGGTAGTTCAAGCCAAAGCAAGTAAGCTAGGTACGGTTTCACGACCAGAGCACTCATTTAGTCCAAGAGTGGGATGCGGCGAGAAAATCCAACCAGTCCGATCATTTGCACCTTTGAGTGTGAATCCCGTGCCCGAGTACCTAATACGTTCGAGTGCATAATCGAGCCGGTGATCACTGTGACACAGTGTTGTGGAATCCGTTCATACACCTCTCACTAAAAGCTTTGAACCTAGGATTTCAAAGTTGCCGGTGGCTAATTATCACAATTAAAGCCCGTTAGACTGGCTTTTCGCCGCTCCGTTTCGAGGCACTCTAGCCATGAGAAATAGGGCATTGAACCACACAAAAACGGGAAACTAACTATCATCAAATTGTTATCGGTGATTGGATTCGAACCTCGAACGACGCTGCGTAACACATAGTCTAACTACCGATAATTGTGGCCAAGTGATTCGCAGTTCCCGCACAACAGACGCCTCAATGCAAAATGACTTTCACCACACAGAACATCACACGGCTTAGTGGGTACGAAAAAAGATCTGCATGATACCGTTACTCACCGCGTCCAATAAATCGACCTCGATTCCAAGTGTACGGGAATTGGCGACGTTGCAGGCGTGGTGTGGTTAGTTTTTGCGATACCGACGAACCGTTTTGGGTCTCCGTATTCTCCTCCTTATTCGTTTCCGGTGTGGGTGGATACAGTTGTTCCTCGTAAACCGGCCGTGGACGACCGATAAGACCGACTTGACGAAGGCGCTCGTCACGGATCGCGTCCAACTGACACAGGATATCGTAAGTGGTCGAAGTTTCACGGGCGATACCCAAGTGGTTTAGGACTGAAAACACCGAGAATAGACGGGCTGTGAGTAGTCGAGAAACGACACACTGAGGAAACTAGACAATCATAGTATAAGTAGACACATCCAGAAACAAACGTTTTTACCACCCGCCCTCAACCTGCCCCGATAGGGGATTACGGTGCCTCCACTTTTGAACAAAACGCAATAACCAGTCTTGTTTATTCATAGAATCGATGAGTATAAAGCCTATATAATATCCCCAGGCATCAACTCTCATTAAAACGAAAATATGATTTTGAAAGTAAAACAATTCCTTGACGGTAAAATCAATTCAAATGAAGTCATTTAGTCCAATGTAGAGTTACTATTGTGAGGCAGAGACTCGAGCTATTTTAGAAACTCCCGAAACAGCACTTCGGCATCAAACTCTGGACGAGGGTGAAACCGTTTTCCCCAGGATGTGACAGAAGGGTGACAGAAAATGTGTCAAATTTTGACTATGAATCATGAATCATGTCCTGATCAAAAGCCTACGGTGGTTTCAAAGCTCAATGACCAACTTTGAATCAGTTAGCTCAAGTTAATCGTTGCTATAGATCGTCAAAATAAACTTCTCGATAGTGAAGGAGAGAGATGGAGTGAATTGAAGCGTTCACAGATCTCATGTTTCGAATAGAACAATGCAAGGAACTACGGGGACGTAGTGCAGATAAAGCGCAGTAGAGCAAAATTAATGAAAAAATTGCGTCCACAATACTTCAACCGGAGGATCATTTATTGCCCAGTTTCAGTTTTCAGTTTGTACAACCATTAACCCATGCACCTTTGTGCGCCGGTTTTGGTTGCTATCTTTTGGCCGCCTATTTGGATGAAGAATAAGAGAAATACAGGAAAGTTGAAATTAGAGTCCAACAGAAAACGGAGAATTTCAGTGGACTAATGTTGCAAAGAAATTGAGAAGATGCACGAACGACACTGTTTACGACACTCAGTCATATCACGATCCGTTACGATCATCTGGAGGTCCCCAACCAGGGAGCCTAACGGAACCTATGTGACCCAGTCACCTGGTTAGGGATTTCATACCCTCGTGCCACGTCTTAGTTTGACCGCCCTTGGCTTTTTTCCATCCATCACATGCTAGAGCTCGCTGGAACTCAAGTCAAGAGGTGATTCAATGACGAACAGCAATTCAACTTGGACTCGTGCAACTACTGCCGACAGGCGTAAAGGACAGATGAGCAGTATTTGGATTGGCCAATGAAAGAGAGAGGTTCAAGAATGCCATGAGGCACATTTTCGGCTCACCATTCTGCGTACCGTTCAAGGTTACGATGCGCACGTTCGTACACTGGAACGCTTTCCATTGCCACTAATGGCGTTGAACGGTAGGGCGAAGACTGTGTTCCAACGGTAAATCACATATACTTTTCACTAAACATTTTAGTTCAGACTGTGTCCAAGAACTCTCGGAAAATTAGTCAAAGAAAAAGTTCCATTTGTTCGTGTGAGCAATACTGGCCGATTGTTCAGATTAACATACGTGAATTTACAACGGAAGTCTTCCAGTAGCCAAAGTTTCATCCACAATGAGGTAGGGCGATGTTTTAAAGCTGGAATCCATTGGGGATCAGTGTTTAGTTTATTGGATCACACTACATTGGGACGGAATCAAACGTCCAAGGTGTACAATACACCTCGATGGTCATTCAAGCCGGCGATCACTGCCACAAACAGGAAGATATGGGTGGGTGTGATTCGTACGTTCCTCGTTGGTTGGTTGGTTTAAAATCCGGTTTTGTAGACAACTCCCTTAGGTAAACAACCAGTAGTTCACTGACCCGGTTACAGCCTCGGATGTTGACTTTTCATCCACTCACTATGATGGGAAAACACCCACGCCACGGGAAGGCAGTGAGCAGGGCTTCAACAGCAGACGCTAATTAAGACGATTAGACATATGGGAGCATTTGGCAAGGTGTGATATCACGTTGCAGCTCACAACTCACATCTGATCATTAGCTAGTTTCTGTTGCACAATGTTAAAGTGATGATGGCAAGGCCTGCATGCTGTCCGGACAACCATTAATCGATAAAGATTCATTGAGTCATTCTGAAAAATAATTTTAGAATGCGTGAATCCAGCGGTGAGCTAAAGACCATCCGAAATAAGGATTGCTGTCTATCGATAAGGGTGTACTCAGGGATAGCGGAGGTGTTTTCAGGTACTGTGATTAAACGGGCGCTTCATGCAATTCTAATGTGCTTCGTTCACACTGAACCCCAAGGGGTGTTATTTTATATTTTAAAGGCCAAACTTTTCAATCGAATACGACAGAGGTATCCAAAAGAATTAGTACGTTGTACTTAGAAATGAACATAATCCGAAAACCGATGAGGAACAAATGATCATGAAAAACGTTTCACGGGCATATCATAATCTGGATCAGCACAATTTTGCATTGAAAACGTATAATGACGGTTCACTCGATTGCACTACAATTTTATTCCACTATTGACTTGTCTGTGAAGGGAACCAACGTCCACAATCCGGATAGATCACAGATCTTATAGCTCCAAAAATACTACATGACTCTTTTGTTTCCGGTGGCGAAATTGAATGTGACGAAAGCTTTCACAATGTCCGCAGTAACCAATTTAAACAATCGAGATCTAAATCCGGTCCGAAACGGATGGAGAACTAATGTGTATGTTTCTCAACATGGGATTCAGTTTCGGACATTATGTAAAACACAGCAATCTCCAGTTATAATGTATTCTACAAAAGCTCGATCGAAAGACGAACAATTATAATTATTCACTCGGTTACTGACACCACTCAATCGCAGAGTCTTACATCAACATCAACTCCAGAGCACAGAATATAAGAGAGCCGCAGGAGCCAGGGTTAATCAAAAATAGTGCAGCTGATTTGGCAGTTACAGCAGAAGCAAATTTGATAGTTTTCCTGGTAAAAATTTCCCGTGGCTAACTGAAACAGAATTTCAAAATCAACAGCGCGAGCCTAACTATCCTTAGCCGCGTTTCTTCCATTCCTGTGAACGATTTATTGGCGAAATTTTCCGAGTATCATACAACTTCCTGTGTCATATTTCCGGAGAGGATTCTCACTAATCCTTACCACCCAATTGCACGCAAAACAGACACGCAGTCGTTCACATTCCTCCACACATTCTCAAATTCGCCAGATTTCATCTTGTATAAACGTTTATCGAAATTCACCTACACCCTATCTTACACGTTTACTCACAAACAAAGAGAGGGTAACGAGTGAACTTCGTCTTAACGGTGGGCTATAAAATGTTCCCAAGTCTGTAATAATTTTTTCCCCGTTGAATATGTTCTGTGTGACGGTTGGTGTGTATATCTTTTAACGGAAATGTAAGCTTTAAAGCTTGCAATGCAATACACAAGATTCGTCTGACTGCCTGTTATCTAGAAACTGCCATGTAGCTCATAGATGCCAGCTATGCACCACAAAATAGTTAGCGAACTCAGCTTGGTTCAACAGATAAGTGAGGTCATCGTGATCTAACTGGGTGATTAGCAAAAAAACTAACCGCCAATCATTCCTAATTGTGATGAATAAAACAATCAGAGCGAAAAACAGAGACGCTGCTANTGAACCACCACGTTGTCCGACCGAGTCGGCCACGAGTAATGAAGGTCGACTGGTTGAAGATGCGGTTCGCTTTGTCTGTCGATCTGAGTGCAAACTATGCACACGACGATGTTTGCGTCGGAATGAATGGGAACTGCGAAGCAACTGTGCGGACGAGACGGCCGAATTGCATCGATCGTACAAAGGCTTGTCGATTGATTCATGTACGGAGACGGGAGATAGACGTGAAAGAACCGGGGATAGACTATTTGGATCGTTCGGTTTATCTTCACCAACCAAATGCGGAATAAGATCGTTCAAAGTGGCTTCCAATGACTGCAAAAAAGAAACGTAAAAATGATAAGCGGAATTAGATCACATGTATCAAGGAGGCTTTTGGACTGACAGGTAAAACAATGACAGGAGTCATCTACTCGAGGAGCTGACTATTTGCTCGGTCGAAATAATCGGCAATGGGCAGAACATTATCAAACTGTTTGACAGGGCAAACCAGTTATATATGGTCGGGGGTACGTATCTTGGGTTGTGGTTGGTCACCCTTCCCTTGTACCTCCCATACGACCAAGCGTCTCAAATAGCCTCTTCTGAGGAAGCCCTATACACTGCCTTCTCGTGGCGCTGTTTTCCCGCCAAGGTGATAGGACGAAAAGCCGAAATGCGGGGATATAACCGGGTCATGAAACCATTGGCAGTTCACATGAGGGAGTTGGATAGAAACCCTAATTCCAAACCAAACAAGAGAAGGCGTACGATCCACATCCAGACACATCTTCCTAATCGTGGCAGAGGGCACCGGCTCAATTGGGCATCAAGGTGAATTGGGCACCTTGGACGTTTGACCCGTCCAAAAGAGCGTATGATCCGGTGAACCGGATACCTGCCCCCAATCGATTGCGGTTGTCACACACTGCCCCGCTGCCATGCGGATCAGGCCTTGGCTAGCCGAAGGCTCCGGTTGTAAATTACTGGATTTATCCGCACAGTCCAGTCCAAGTTTCAGCACTCACGTTAATCGTTTGTGCGGGTCGCAGCAAGGGACTTGGCAGCCAAGTGACATCAATGTGGGTTCACATTATTGTTCTCTCGCGCATCCGTTCACTCAGGAGGGAAATCCTACGGCCTAAAGGAGCTCAATGATCGTGACTGACAGACTGAACAATATTTGGAAATACAAATGTTTCTCTGATTCTCACTAGATGTACTAGAGAACGATTATCGTTCTGAAGATACTGCCACATGTGGTTGCCGCTATTGTAAGTTATCAGCCTTCGAGATAGCACACCAACCGACTGTCCTTATTTTCATATCTATCTATCTATCTATCTATCTATCCGTACTGTAGGCCTTCTATCGTACAAACAAAAATACAAATGCATGTTCCCACTAGGGGGGAACACGACGAAAACGACCGAGGATGCGGGTCCAATGACTGAGAATGAAGATAATTGCTAATCCAAGTGGATTGAAAAAAAAGATTAAATCTGATTAAGTTCATCATGGTTGTCGGAGCTACTTGATCGGTTACTTGGACGGACGAGAAATTTGATCGAAAACACTAAACAACAATCAACTTAGCCCTCTTGACGTACATTGTTTTCAATATAGTGGAGCNATCCAGATGCATCACGTCAGTAATTCTTGTTATCATTCCATACATGGAATGAGAACGACTATTCTAGGACAGAAGTTGTATCTTAAAGGGAGACAAAGATTTAAGGTGGCGGTGATGCAGTGGTTTAGTCGTTGTCAACGGCGTGCTTTGGACCTTATGGTTCGAGCCCTGCCAGAACCGCCGAAGTACGGTAGTAGGCAGCTTTTCTGTCGTCCGGTTCAACACCACGCCTAGCTTATCGGAGCCTTATGTGGTTCGCCACTCCAAGTCCCGGAGCCTAGGCTGCCGGTTTCCAACACTGAACAGCAGCTCCTCGTGACAATGGAGTTTGCCCGTCTGCTGTTCATTACACTTAGATGTGTAATAAACAAAAACTGATCTATTTAGCCTGTCGTCGTTGATCTCTATGCGTGAGTTATCTTATCCGATTTTGCACAAGAATTTAAAGCGGACCCAGTCGCGAATCAGCAGAATAAAACAGAATGGACAATGACGAAAAAACTGTAGTCCACAAAAAGTCACAAGAAACGAAAACAATGAGTCAAAATCAAGCACTTAACCGAGAAGATTATCGGAAGAGTGGTGCGAAAATATACACAGATGACACACTCACCGCAACTTTACGCGCTTCCAGAAAGGTGACCGATCTGGGTTGGCAAAGCTGATACGCGAAATGACATGCATCGTTCGCCCAACGAGGAATTCGACCACGACCGCGTTGGTAACGTCCTGTGACGAATCGAGACCAACTGGCTAATAATTGGACACCTAAATTTGCCAAACTGGATTGAATCGGCATGGTGAGGAGTGTAGATTGCTCGGAAGGTGTCCCCATGCACAACGATTCATCTGTGCGAATCAGAACGAGAAACATGACGACGAAGTTGTGATTGAATAGGCAATTCCAAAAAATTTTGAATTCTATCTGTGGTGGAACGACAATAATACTAATATTAATAATATTATTGATAATAACAATAATAACAAAGAACAACAACAGTAACAAGAAAAATGGTAATATGAAAGGAATTCAGCGGACACTCGGACAGATCACAGAATCTTACCATTCTGTATTGTGTTGGTCAGTGGAGCGGTGGCCATTAGGCGCATCAGAGTTTTATGAAAACCGAACACGATAGAATAGGCCCGCTGAAGCGTGTCCCCGGACAGAGCGTGTGTGGTCAACTCTCTACTGGTTGATCGCCTTGGTGAGATAGACCGCAGACGACGTGTCTCGTGATAACGTTCGTGCGGAAAAACTCGAGATACACTGAAACTGTTCTCTTCCCCATGCGAATCGTATAGACCGCGCAAATGAGAGTCCATGACCAAAAGAGAAGCCTATGGAGAGAAGAAACAACAATGAAAGGAATCAAACCCATGTTGGAAGTAGCACGCGGTTGTCGACACGGTTTGAGAGGGGATGTAATTTATGAAAGGAGGCTTCTCATCAAATGTCTAGTTCAATTTAGAGATCTCGGACCATTGGTACATTGAGAAAAATGTCTAGTTGGTGGTACAAGCTGATCTCTGATAATTCACTAAATGGTCAATGATTCGCTGATGGTCGTTGATATATCCTCGTTGCTGAGAAGAACGGGACTTCTGGGTCGTCCCCTCCGGAACCATGGCAAAAAGGCTGTTTCTGACTTCCGACGGGGAACCAATGTTTGCATAGCAATCGCCCCAACAGTCCACAGGAGGAAAAAACAAGAAAAGTTTAAAATACACTTTCCAGTGGATAAATTGCGCATGCTAAACTCCAGCTAATCACTCGCTCACACATGAAATGAGATTCAAGGGGTGGTAAGCAAACAAATGCCCGTTTTTGTAAGAAACCATCGAATGTGCTCTGGCAGTGAGTGAGTTGTTCGCATTATGCTGTTCTCGTAGATGGTATATGCTAGTCCTATGTTTGACCTTTGTGGGACCTGAATCCGTGCGTGGATGTGACCTATGCTTTTCTACAGTGTACGCACTATCAGTGGGCGCTAAAGACTTGGGAAAGCCACGTGAAGACCCAGTGATGACGTGAGGACGAGACGAGAAGAAATGCACACAGCGATTAGGAAGAGTCACTGTCCCGTTATCCCTCTCTATCCGGCCTAAATATCATCACTCAAACTGTATGTATTATGAGTGTGGTAGCGATCAATGAAGTTCGCCTCACTGTGTGACACTGTACGATGATGATGACGAGGACGCTCGACTACATAAGCCGCTTCGACAACAAGTGAATTCATGCCTCACGCACGGCTGGAGTGACCATGGGGCTCAACTCGGACGTACTTGACATTGTAATTACCCCATACATGCGCTCAACGTTCATCAGGACATGTTTGCGGGATGTTTTGCATTGAAACGTTTAGAGAACTTCGACATTTCAGTCCTTCCTCTCATCCTTTACTCAGCCCCAAAACAGCTCAAACGGAAAATGAAACTAATCAAATGCAGCGCATCAGAACTGGCGAGAGAAAACCAGCTCACAGTCGAGTCAATTGTCAAAGTATAATAACACACACACACACACACACAAACCACTGTTACACCAAAGCAATCAGAAGGCAACGCCGGTACCAGTAGAGTGAAGTTCGAAAATGATAGAACCGGCACGGTTTGTTTTTCGTTACCACAGAAAATAGTACAAAAATTCTGATTGGGCGATAGAAACAGAGAACGTGCACCAACGGAAACCCACCAGTTGCGATGTGTGAGACCGGGCAGCATACGCGATGTTCCTTATAAATTCCAACCGTGCGAGTGCATATCGATTCGCATTTGGACTACTCGTGAGTAGTAATTTTAAGATACTTGGTTCTAATATTGCTTACACATTTGTGTGCTCCAAATCATGTTGAACTATGGACCTGATCAATTAGGCTATTACGATCTTTAGTTTTCCGGTTTCCTCTAAAGAACAGCAAATCCTCTTGACTATGGGGTTTATTCCATTTGGCGTTAGTCGAGCATAAGTAAGGTCTTCATTCTTGTATGATTCAAAGGAATGAGATAGCAAAGGCTGGTCGACCATGTTCTAAAGTTGAATTTACCTACCTGGGCGCAAAGGTGATCACCGTTCCCAGATAACTTAGTTCCCGAGAAATCTCCATTTCAGATGGAGGACTGGCCCATATGGGCCAAAGGCCTTATGCCTTTTGAGATAACTTAGTTCCCGAGAAATCTCCATTTCAGATGGAGGACTGGCATCAACTGGGAGTATTTGTCCAGTCGAGGCGGAGAGTGAAAGATAAGATATCGATGGGGGCCAGTTGAACTGAGCCGTAAAATGTTCAGCACAACGGTCAAGACGGCGTTGCTGATCGTGAATCAGTGTGCCATCGGATTGCTTAATTACCTCACTTACGCCTATTTTCCTAGGGCCCATATTCCTAATTAGATGGAACAGGTTACGACTATTACCAATAGGCGCAGCGTTCTCCATCTCTTTACACTTTTCTACCCACCACTTCTCGCGGTCATTCCTCAGACTCTTGAGGATCTAGCGTTTGAGGGATTTGCGCGCTGTGTCATACGTGGCATCCGGAGGACGGGTTCTGCGGGAGTCCAGCAGGGCAGCCGAGATTCATCGTTTGTATTTTGACCTTGCAGGGTCCGATTTAGTCTTTGTCGATATCTGCATAGCTTCCGGGATTTGCCTTCAGTGTTCATCGAGTCCTTCGCCTGGTGACTAAACTATGTCCGTTGACCGAGCACTTTGGAGCAGTTGGGAGAGATCCTTGTAGAACTCATCCTTTATTTCAGGTGCATACACCGATACGACGAATAAGCACCGACGCTTCGTTCTGTAGCTGTTGACCCGTGCTCAGCCGTTGAGACGTACAGCGCATAGTCGGCAAATGACTGGAATCCAGTCAAGAAGCGAGAGCTCAGCCTTGGCACTTAGCGCAATCCCAACACCAGCAACACCGCGAGTTTCGGATACCGAATCGCCTGACACACGGAGGAGGAAGCGCGAGGTCGAGGTTAGGTTAGAAGAACGTATAGAAATGATTGAAGTGCCTAAGACTTTAGGACGCTGCATACTTCGCGGCAGCCTGCACCAACGAAGGGGTTTTTCCTTGGGAACCCTAACCAGAGCCCTGGATTCAGAGGTCTAGCCCACAAGGCAGTGGGACGTAGAGCCGAAGCCGGAGCGTGACCGAAACACCCGTGTGGGGACTTCTTGAGATCTCTAACGT